GTGCGGCAGTGTGCTCACGTGTCCCTTTGTGTGTGCATGTACACATTTGTACGGAGAGCCTCGAGGGAGGACGAGCAGCGCGTCGCGGCCGCGGTGGACTTCTGCCTCGCCAGCTACGTCATCGGCCGCAAGGTGAGCCTGCGCGTTGTCGTCGTCGTCGTCGTCGTCGTCGTCGTCGTTACTTCGTCGTTGCGTCGTCGTCGTCGTCGTCGTCGTCGTCGTCGTCGTTGCTTCGTCGTTGCTTTGTCGTTGCTTCGTCGTTGTGTCGTTGTCGTTGTCGTTGCGTCGTCGTCGTCGTCGTCGTCGTCGTCGTCGTCGTCGCCTCGTCGTTGTTTGTCGTCGTTTCCGTTGCCGTTTTCCAGTTCGTCCTCGTCGTCGTCGTCTTCGTTTATGCGCGTTTTCTTTCTCGTTCTCGTTCTCGTTCTAGTAGGAAGAACTGGAGGGGATGGCGAGGAGGAGTTTGGAAGGCTTTGGGGCGCTTGCGCGCCTTCAGAAGGCCTATATGGGGACCGCCAGAGGCCCCCAGAGTCATGGAGGGGATCTCTGGGGAGCCTCCCGCGGGGGCCAACTCACGCCAGACATATATTTGATTTTCGAGGGGGGAGGAAGGGGGAGGAGGGGGGAGGGCAACAGAGGTGGTCAAGCTGGGTGCGCTCGCGCCATACCTGACATCCTACCTCTCCCACCCATCCCTTACGATCTCGCTAATTTCTTTGCCATCCTCCCACGCGTGTCACAGCGTACCTGGAATCCAGAAGGACCCCATCGTGTCTTGCGTAATCGGCAAAGGGAAGCTGCGTACACTGGAGGAGGAATGAGCAGGAGGATGAGCAGGAGGAAGCGAGGATGAGGAATGAGGAGGAGGACGAATACAAACAGCAGCAGCGGGAAGGAGGACCAGGGGAAGGCGGAGGAGGGGAGAGGAGGGGGGCGGCAACGATGAGGGAAGATTCGATCCAGAAAATGGTAGCCTGCGCTGGGGCGAGAGTGCCATTCTGAAGGACAGGAGCAAAGCCGAGATCCGCAGATGAGGCCAACGCTGCAACTGCAGCACCTCGTGGATACACCGAAGAGCCGTTCCGATTGACAACAGCCATAGGAACGACAACTTGCTGAAATCCGGTGCAAATAACAATGCGTGGAAAGGGGGGCGGGGGACTTCCTGGCCATCTTCGGGGGAGGATGGAAGTACCTCATGGCCTTCGGCCCATCCCGCCTCCGTCCCTGGGTTGTGGGTATAAAGCCGATTGGATGTTCGTTGGGATCTCGTGGGAGGCTTGTCGGGGGCCTTTGGAGGCCGTTTGGAGGCCTCGTGGGGGCCGTTTGGGGGCCTCGCTTGGGGGCCTTTTGGGGTCTCTTGGGGCGTTCTGGGCGCCTCTTGGGGCCTCCTGGGGGCCTCTTGGGCCGTCTTGGGGCGCTCTTAGGCCGTCTTGAGGCCCTCTTGGGGGCCTCTTGGGCTGTTTTGGGGTGGTCTTGGAGGCCTGTTGGGCCGTCTTGGAGCGTCGGGAAGCCGAAAAGGCGAGAACGTCAAAATCTTTCAAACACCTCAGGACAATTCACGATGTGTGCCTCACGAGACCCTCTTGGGAGGCCTCTTGGAGGCCTCTTGGGGCGTCTTGGAGGCTCGTTGTGCAATCATGAGGCCATCTTGGGCGTCTTGGGCCGATCTTTGAGCGCCTCGGGGCCCTCTTGAACCGTTTTGGGGGCCTCGTGGGGGCCTCTTGGTCCGTATTGAGGACCTCTTGGGCTGGAACAAGTCACGCGACAAGATGCGGGAACGCCCAGAAGACACGCAGGAAGCCCATGGGGGCACGCAGGAAACCACAAGGGGGCACGCCAGGAACCCCACTCAGGAGTGAGCACTGGGGCTCCAGGAATTAGGCAAAGGACCTGAGGACACGCCCACTCCGTGCCCACAGGCACTGTGGTGGATTTCTATTCAGTAATTTTGGAGGGAGGGGATGATGATGATGCTGCTGCTGATGATGATTATGATTCTGATGATGATGATGGTGGCGGTGGTGGTGGTGATGCTGCTGATGATGCTGCTGATGATGATGCTGATGATAATTCTGCTGCTGCTGATGATGGTGGTGATGATGATGATGCTGATGATGATGGTGATGATGATGGTGGTGGTGATGATGCTGATGATGATGCTGCTGCTGATGATGATTATGCTGATTCTGATGATGCTGCTGCTGATGATGATGATGCTTATGATGATGATGATGACGATGATGCTGATTCTGAGGATGATGCTGATGAGGATGAGGATGATGATGCTGCTGATGATGATGATGATGATTCTGATGATGATGGTGGTGGTGATGATGATGAGATGCTGATGATGATGATGATGAGGAGGAGGAGGAGTTGGAAGATGTTGAAGAGAAGGAAGAGGAGGATTAAGGTGAGTGCGATCACGGAGAAGGATCTGCTGACCCAGTACTCTCGCCTGGGCGAGCTCTTCCCAGCCTGGAATGCGACGCGGGATTGGGTCCCTCTTCGTCGTCGCCCTCTTCGTCCTTTGTCCTCGTTTTCATCGTCCCCGTCCTCCTTGTCCTCCTCTTCCTCCCCCCCTCGCTTCTCTTCCCCTTCCCCTCCCTCTTTCTGGCTCCCTCCTCCATTTCTCCTTTCCGTTCTCCACGCGAGCGCGGGGGACGGGGGATGTGAAGGACCGTGAGTATGTTGTTGTTGTTGTTGTTGTTGTTGTTGTTGTTGTTGTTGTTGTTGTTGTTGTTGAACATTATTTATTCTAAAGAATAATTATTGTTGGGCCCCCTGGTGCGCGCCCCCCCTGCGCCGCCTAGGCCGCAGCTACATTTTCATCATTTTCGTGAGGAAGCCTCAGAAAAGAGGGTGTGTACAGGATCCGGTTGTTTTGTTGTAATCCGCTTTCCCTTGCAAAAAACAATAGAAAATGACATTTCTTGTTCTAATATAATCAAATTTCAAGAATCCCTTGCAAAAAATAAGGTAAAGTGGACATTCGCGCGCGCAAGACGAAATCCTTCCAAAACCTTAGTGTTCGCAGCGATTTTAACATAAAAACATCAAAAAACCAATGGTTTTTCAACAAAAAATTGTCAAAATCTCATCCCGCGCGCTCTTGCGGATTCGTAGGAAACCCAACACTTTTTAAACATTTCTGTCAAACGGGCTTTTGCGAGCAACTTTTTCGAACTTCTGCGACAACGGTTGCGCACCTGCCAGGGCCATCATCCCTGTCAAATAATACCATGCGGGACACATTCGTTTTTTCTTCGCGCGCGCACGCCGTCGTCGTCGGCCGCGGGGCCCTGAATAGTAGCCACGGTCGTCCGCATGCCACGAAGTGAAGTGTCCGAACGTCATAGGGCGGGAAGCTGGGTGTGGGTGGTGGCGAAGAGTCGTTTGGAAATTTGGTAGAGCTTGAACCGGCCCCCCCACAAAGTGGGGGTATTGCCCGCCTCCTATGAAAACCCTGGCACTGGTGAGAACGGAGTGTCCCCACGTGCTAGTAATTGTTGTTGTTGTTGTTGTTGTTGTTGTTGTTGTTGTTGTGGTTGTTGTCGTTGCTGCTGCTGTTGTTGCTGTTGTTGCTGTTGTTACTGTTGTTGTTGTTGTTGTTGTTGTTGTTGTTGTTGTTGTGTTGTTGTTGTTTTTTTGTTGTTGTTTTTGTTTTGTTGTTGTTGTTGTTGTTGTTGTTGTTGTTGTTGTTGTTGTTGTTGTTGTTGTTGTTGAATTCCCATTTTTGAAGAATAATTATTGTTGATCCCCCCACCGGTGCATACTGTTTTTTCTCAATCAAAGTGTGCCCCTCGACGCTCGCACCTTGTTTTTTGACAGGGAAAGTCTTCCTGCTCAAACTGGGCCCCTGGCCCCCGGGTTACAACAACAACGGCTCCCGCTTGAGACTTCCTTACAATTTAGCCAGGACCCCGCTCCCGCCCGAGACCTCCTCGCATTTTATTCCCAACCCTCCTGCGTTGGGTTCTCGTTTTGAGTAGAGCACTGCCCGCGCGAACCTTCCTTCCTTCCTTCCCGTCCCTCTCTTCCCCCCTGCCTTTGACCTCGCCATCCCTGGGGGGCTGCGATCTGCGAAACTGTCGCCACTTTCGAGGGCTGCTGGGGAGGCCAGCAGAGAGGGTACCCACCGCGGATCCAAACGGGACCTCGCCGCCCCTGGGGGGCTGCGATCTTCGAAACTGTCGCCATTTTCGAGGGCTGCTGGGGAGGCCAGCAGAGAGGGTACCCACCGCGGATCCAAACGGGACCTCGCCGTCCCTGGGGGGCTGCGATCTGTGAAACTGTCGCCACTTTCGAGGGCTGCGGGGGAGGCCAGCAGAGAGGGTACTCACCGCGGATCCAAACGGGACCTCGCCGTCCCTGGGGGGCTGCGATCTGCGAAATTGTCGCCACTTTCGAGGGCTGCTGGGGAGGCCAGCAGAGAGGGTACTCACCGCGGATCCAAACGGGACCTCGCCGTCCCTGGGGGGCTGCGATCTGTGAACCTGTCGCGGGATGCCAGCAGAGAGGGTACCCACCGCGGACCCAAACGGGACCTCGCCGTCCCTGGGGGGCTGCGATCTGCGAATTTGTCGCCACTTTCGAGGGCTGCTGGTGGGCCCTGCAGAGTGAGGCACCGCGCGGACATGAGCGGGACCTCGCCGTCCCTGGGGGGCTGCGATCTGTGAAATTGTCGCCACTTTCGAGGGCTGCTGAGGGGCCCAACACAGTGGGTACTCACCGCATACTCAAATTAGACCTCGCCATCCCTGGGGCTGCGATCTGTCAAACTGTCGCCACTTTCGAGGGCTGCTGAGGGGCACAGCACAGTGGGTACTCACCGCAGACTCAGATTAGACCTTGCCATCCCTGGGGGGCTGCGATATGTGAAACTGTCGCCACTTTCGAGGGCTGCTGATGGGGCACAGCACAGTGGGTACTCACCGCAGACTCAGATTAGACCTCGCCATCCTTGGGGGGCTGCGATCTGTGAAACTGTCGCCACTTTCGAGGGCTGCTGAGGGGCACAGCACAGTGGGTACTCACCGCAGACTCAGATTAGACCTCGCCATCCCTGGGGGGCTGCGATCTGTGAAACTGTCGCCACTTTCGAGGGCTGCTGAGGGGCACAGCACAGTGGGTACTCACCGCAGACTCAAATTAGACCTCGCCATCCCTGGGGGGCTGCGATCTGTGAAACTGTCGCCACTTTCGAGGGCTGCTGAGGGGCACAGCACAGTGGGCTTCCCGCACGTCTTTCTCCTGCTCTTCGTTCCCGACTCCCCATGTCCTCTTCGAGCCTGTAGTTGTCGCCCCTCGTTCTTGTATGGTTCTCCTGCGCATCATGCCATAGGCGCGTGTCCCAAGTAGCTTACATATCAAACAACGGATCCTGCAATTTGATTGTCCATGCAAGTTTCGGCCAACTCCTCGTTTCCCATGGTACAAATGGGTTGGGTACGTCACAGGGTAATTCAGGAATCGCGCTCTCGCTTGGGACTTCTTTGCAATTTATTCAGGAATCGCTCTCCCGGCGCTCTGGAGTCGCGCTCTCGCAGGGGACTTGCTTGCAACTTACTGAAGAATGGCCTTGCGTTGGAATTTCCTGCAATTTGCCCAAGCGCCGCGCTCCCGACACCCAGGCACCCAGGAGTCGCGCCCGTTGTGGCCCCATGTGCATGCCCTTCGTGGCCCCGTTGTCGCCATTTGTGTCCCCCTCACTGTCCTACGTGGCCCAGTTGCTACCCTCAGTGGCCCCATAGTTGCCTTTTGTGGCCCCGCATTATCTGCACTTCGTGGCCCCCGCTCGTTCGCGCTCTTCGTGGCCCCATACACGTTCCCTTCGTGTCCCCGCTGTCGCCCTTCGTGGCCTACTTCGTGCCCTTCGTGGCCCTGCTGTCGTTCTCTCTCGCTCTCGCTCGCTTTCGTCGTCGTCGTCGCCGTCGTCGTCGTCGTCGTCGTCGTCGTCGTCGTCGTCGTCGTCGTCGTCGTCGTCGTCGTCGTGGTCGGTCCCCTGTCCGTCCCTCTTGGGGTCGGGTCGACGGTCCGCGGCCGCCCCGCCGATCAGCGCTGCCGCTGGCCAGGCCGACGGTCCGCGACCGCCCCGCCGCTTGCCGGGGCCCGGCCTGCAGGGAAGAAAGGTATTCCCCCTAAAAGGGGTTCGATCGAAGACGAAGAGGGCGGGTATCGAGGGTTTGGGAAACACGCGTTATTGGACACTCGAGCATATAAGGGCGATCAGTCTTAAATTTATTGTTGTTGTTGTCGTCGTCGTTGCTATTGTTGTTGCTATTGTTGTTGTTGTTGTTGTTGTTGTTGTTGTTGTTGTTGTTGTTGTTGTTGTTGTTGTCGTTGTCGTCGTCGTCGTCGTTGGCGGCGGCGGCGGCGTCGTCGTCGTCGTCGTCGTTTTGTCGTTGTTGTTGTTGTTGTTGTTGTTGTTGTTGTTGTTGGGGTTGTTGTTGTCGTTGTTGTTGTTGTCGAAGTTGCTGTTGCTGTTGTTGTGGTTGTGGTTGTGGTTGTGGTTATGGTTGTCGTTGTTGTTGTGGTTGCGGTATTGGTTGTTATTGTCGTCGTCGTCGTTGTTGTTGTTGTGGTGGTGGTTGTTGTTGTTCTTGTCGTCGTTGTTGTTGTTGTTGTTGTTGTTGTTGTTGTTGTTGTTGTTGTGGAACTCTCATTTCTGAATAATAATTACAGTTGATCCCCCCGTCAGGTGCACATGTGTTTTTCAATTGAAGTGCCCTGCCCGGGGCTCGCACCCTGTTTTTATCAGGGAAAATCTTGAGGGTCAAACTGTGTCGTTGGCCCCCGGGTTACAACAACAACGGCTCCCGCCTGAGACTTCCTCACAATTTAGCCAGGACCCCCGCTCCCGCCCGAGACTTCCTTGCATTTTATTTAGGAATCGCGCTCTCGCTTGGGACCACAATTTACTCAGGAATCGCTTTCCCGGCGCTCTGGAGTCGCGCTCTCTCTGGAGATTTGCTTGCAATTTACTGAAGAATAGCGTCCTTGCGGTGGAAATTCTTGCAATTTATTCAAGCGCCGCGCTCCCGACACCCAGGCACCCAGGAGTCGCGCTCACGTTTAGGACTCTCTCACAGATTACCTAAGAATCGGGATCTCGCTGCCCTTCTTGGCCCCGTTGCAGCCCTTCGTGCCCCCCTCGATTTGTTTCGTGGCCCCGTTGCAGCCCTTCGTGGCCCCCTCCCCTCGCTGCCCTTCGCGGCCCCGTTGCAGCCCCTCGTGGCCTCCTCGCTGCCCCTCGTGGCCCCGTTGCTGCCCTCAGTGGCCCCGTCCTTGCCCTCCGCGGCCCAGTGTACGTATGCCCTTCGTGGCCCTCGTTCGTTCGCGCCCGTTGTGGTCCCCTGTGCATGCCCTTCGTGGCCCCGCTGTCGCCGTTTGTGGCCCCCTCACTGTCCTACGTGGCCCAGTTGCTACCTTCAGTGGCCCCGTCGTTGCCTTCTGTGGCCCCGCATGATCTGCCCTTCGTGGCTCCCGATCGTTCGCGCC